TTCAAGTATACAGCACATTGGTTAGACATTATGTAATTTATAAAATGATCCCCCTAATTGCTCTTTTTCTCCTCTGGCTGTCCACCTACCCACTACATTAATGCTAACTGCATTCCCTATGCCGTGCTCCTCATCCCCAGAAGTTCTCCTTTAAACCTACCAAAAGGAAGATTTATAACCATCTTAGCTTGAAAACTGGACATCCATCAGCCATGGAAAGATCTGTTAATCCTAGGCTTGAAATACCAATATTTTTTATATCAAAAGTACTTTATGGCTTTACTCCACAAATATCACCAAAGTGAAGGAGTCTGAGTAAAAACCCATTCAAGCAGATGGCTGTGACTCTACAGATGGTAGAGGTTTGGGAATCTAAGCTCCTGGTAGTGCTTTTCTTCCTGTCCAGAATCTTCTCTTCTGCTCCTCTCCCTCGCCACAGGTGGCACTATCATCTACCACAGTCACCCAAGCCTGGAAATTGTCCCAACCTCCATATCCCTCACTCCTTACTAGTCTCCCCAAAGCCATGGGCTTATGTATCCTTGTCCCTTCTACACCCACCTCTGTATCAAGGAGGAAAGCTGGGCAAAGACAAGCAGTTGCATTTAGAGGCTGCCAGTCAGGGAGGGGCACTTGTACCAGATTGAAAGTCAGACGAGAAGCCCTTTCCCCTCTGGCAATGGTGGGCGCATATGTCTGTGGACCTGAGACTCAGATAGGCTTGCAGGCAATCACCTGCTTTGATGTGGCAAACAGCTGAGATCAATGAGGCCAGTATTCCTGAGATTTCTGCAGCTTCCTGATCTCCTAAAAAGTGCAGTAGTTTTCCTTGATGTTTGTTCCCCCAGCCATTCCTAGAGTTTTGTACGTGCCTACTTCCCAATATCCCAGTTGGCCTATTTTTTCTGTAAAGGGCCAAATAGTAAGTATTTGGGGCTTTGAGGGCCACATGCACTCTCTGTCACAACTGTTTAACTCTGCCATTGTTGTGCAAAAGCAGTCCTAAACCATACATAAACAGAGGAGCATGGCTGTGTTCCAATAAAACTTTATTTATAAAAATAGGCAGTGGTCTGGATTTGGCTCACAAAGCATAGTTTACGGACCTCTGCAATATTTAATTCCATTCTGCTTGAACTATTTATATGGTGGTTTCTTTCTTCCTGACTTATACAATATCTTAAATATCCATGAACTTTTCCCCTCTTCTCTCTTAGCAAAACTGTCTTAATTCAAGCCCTCATCATCTATTGCTGAAGCTAGTGGGCCCTGTCCTTGGTTATTCCATTTGGAGTCTTCTCAATTTGTACCTCACTCGCACTGCTACAATCTCCTGTCATTCCCCTGTAAAATCTTTTAATGGCTCTGCATCCCTTCTACGTTACCTCATGTTAGGCAGGGTCTCAACAGGAAGCAGATGAGATGGTCAAGTAAGGATCATTTAAGGGGGCCAATTACAAAGGTTAGGGGAACCACAGGCACAGTACAGTCATTCAGGGTCCATAGCTATACTGTTTCTATCCCTAGGCCCATCAGGATGGGAGCAGGGAGCAGTTACCAGAGCCCAAGGAAAGAGTTGTGACGTTTAGGGCTTCTCCATCCAGCTGTGCCAAAGAGCCAGGTTTGGGGGTTTTGTTTTTGTTCTGTTTTGATTTTTTAATCAATTCTTCTCAGACTAGTACTTTTGTAAAATAGAATTTAAAATTAACTATTAGAAAAAAATGAAATGAGAAAACACATAAAATACAAAACACATAAAATCCAAAAAAAAATACACTTTTTTAGCATGAGATTCAACACATATAAAATCTCCCTGTCAAATTGTTATAAAAGTTTCTAAACTCTTACTCACAGTTTCTGTTCTTACCTCATCACAGAGCCAAGACAGCCTGCAGGGAGGGAGTCAGAGGAATTAATACCCCAATGTGACTCTCCTCCCTCTCTCCCATCTCCTATCAATGAATGACCTCCATTAGCCAAACTCAACCAGACACCAGATAGTAGGAAAGGCTGTTCACACTCCCCATGCAAGTCAGCCTCCCAGGACAGAGAATGGGGTGCAGGAGGTGGAGCTGGAAGAACAAAAAGCAGCATAAGAGGTCACAGCCCAAGATCTTCCATAAGCCCTCTACCACCCTGCTTTTACATGGTCCAATATTCTATCCATACCAATCACCTAGTTTCCACATCCTCACACCTCCATCATTTTACACACACTGTTCCCTTTGTCTGGGAAGCTTCCACTCTTCTCTGCTTCTAAGTCTTGCTCATGTTTCAGGACCACAGAAGTCTTAATAGTTTGGGGGTGCTCAGAATGCTTTTCTAGCAACCTCCATGTTTTGGCAGCAAACCCCATGCCCCTAGTTATGGACTGGGCTCATGGCCAAAATTTCGCTGGTGAGTTCAGTTTTAACAAGTATTTATTGAGAACTTACTGTGTGCTGTTTTAGAATATATGTGCTATTCTAGATAGGTCACACTGTTCTAGATATGACAAATACAGCACTGAATAAAAGACAAATCCCTTTACTCATTCAGCTAGGGAATCACGTTTGTTTGTTTATCAAATGATAATTATAATCTTTCCCCAGAATTGGTCTGTGGACATTTAGCAAACAAAATTCCTTTTCTCCTCTAGGGAAACCAAACCAAGAGAACATGCACATAACTCTCTTCCTTGGCCACAATGAGAGTCTGTTTGCAATAGGAGATGGACTCAAAGAAAAAGGATTGAGAAATTGAAAAGATAGCACCTTGATTATTTGACTCCTAGATCTAGCCAAGCCTGAAATCGGCATCTGAATTTCCCAGTTATGTAAGCCAATAAGTTCCCCTTTTTAGCTTAGGCTAATCTGGATTGGATTTCTGTCACTCAGAACCAAATGAGTCCTAATACAGGAACTCAGCTCAAACTTTACCTTCTTCTAAATATTTTCCAAATGCCTGGTGTAAGTCAGTGGCATATTCTGAACGCTATGAGCATATATAGATAAGACATCTATCCTGGCACTTCACAAAAGTAATCAAACAGAGCTCACTGAGGACAAGGACTTTCATCTCTGAATCCCCAGGGCCTTGTGTAGATTAGATACCTCAAAAATGTTTGCGCAAGTAATTGAAATGAATTCTTGCGGTCATTGAACCCCTGTAATCAAAGGTATATCCAATAATATGTCTACCATATATATTTATATATCCTGAAGAGAGAGGTTGATTGAGATCCAGAGAAATTAAACACAAAGGGTCTCTGTGATCTAAACTAACCGGAATCCACACACCTTGGGTTAGACCAGCTGCCCACAGAACACCTCCAGTAAAGGAGCCCATCTATTTCTGTGGGACCCCTCATTACATGTCACAAAGAAGCAGAATTGACTTGGAAGCAGAATGTTGATAGACTTGAGGCAATCAATAATAGCTTAGACCTAGAACTAATAGTGTCTGCTATTTGGTGAGCATGACGTCAGAAGCCTCACAATAACCAAGTAAGGTAAATGCTATTATAATCCCCATTTTATATACAAGAAAGCTGAGGCCCAGAGAGTTTTGGCGAAATCCCCTAAGTCACACAGCCAGTGGGAGGCAAACGTGAGATTCAGAGCCAGGCAGGCTGGATCTAGAACTGAGATCTTAGCCACTGCTTCACTTTGGCTGTAACTGTAACACTGGGAATTTCCCAACTCTGAAAGTCTGTTGAAATGAGGCAGGAAGATGTGGTAGTGTCTGTGACAGAATCTAGAACGAGGACAGTGGAGGCCGCTGTCATGACTCCATTTCTCCCAAACAGGAATTCCTAATCTAAGAAGCAGCTCTATTTCTGAGTGCTTCATTCAACTACCAGAGTTAACAACTTAAAAGTCTATGTGCCAAACTGTATACCAATACCCTGTTTAAAAGTTAGCTATACCTCAAGTCACCTAATGTTTACACCGACTCTGTGAAGTAGGCGTTATTACCCACGTACAGGTGGGAAAGTGGTAGTTAAAAGGCTTGAGTTGGAAGCTATGTAGCACTAGTCAGTGGGAGAGTTGGGACCTAAATCCAGGTCTGTGGCTTCAGATCCTGTGTTCCATCGGGCTGTCCCTCAAGAAAATCTGAACACAGCTCATGCCATTACAGCACCTGAGTTCCTGCCTTTCTACACCTCTGTCTCACTGTGGGCCTGTGAGTGGCGCTGAAGTGTGTGCACCTGAGGATGCAATCACAAGAGTTTTTTTACCACATGAAAATATGGAAAGTCAGGACTTAATTTAGGGTTGTTCACAGCATGCTCTACCCCAGGGAAGTTACTTTTCAAAAATCAATACTGAGGGAGAAAACTCTGCAGTACTTCACCATCCATCTTTCTCAACTGTCTCTTGTGACCTTTCTACTTATCTGTTACAAAGTATTAACCTTGACTTTTTCCAGCATATAGACAAACGATCTCCTTATCTGCCTGGCAGTTAACCTAACCAGAGAGACCTGTTTTTCATCAATCTGTACAGAAAGCCTCATCGTATCCAAAGCATTTCTCTTGTTCCTTTCCTCCCTGAAATGATCACAATGAGCCCGTCCTGAATAAAAAGCGCCATCTGTGGTCTCAGGGCAAGAATCGGGGGCACTTTGTTTTAAAATCAGACTGGAGTTATTCAGTGCACTAAACAGTAAGAGGAGCTACTCTTAAATGTTGGATTACAAAAGTCACCTGCCTCAGAAAAGAATAATATTGCATGTCCCTGATAATTCTATTCATAGGGTTGTTGTAGGATTACACAAGTATCCAGTGCCAACTGTATACCAATACCCTACTAGTCACAGGACACACGTTACATTAATCAGTGATTTTCTCAGCCAAGTCAAATGATGTGTGCTCCTTGAATAATTACTCGCCATTCTCTTCCTCCTCTCTATAACCAACCACTGGGTCTTCATACACATCAAAACACAAAACAGTACTTACAGTGTGAACTTTATATGGAAGGAACTTTATATGTAATAATATTAGGTCAATAGAGAAAGACACCACGATGTTAGTTGCTGTAAATAGGTGATGGATTTGGAGTGATTATTCCTTTTGTCTATCCCTGTTCTCTAAATTTTCTACAAAAGTTAAGATATAAGAAAAAACACTAAAAGTTTTTAATACCTCTTCACAAAATCTATGAAATCTGAAACCCTGTGTTCTCCCTGCTGACTTAAGTCTTGCTTCCCTCCCCATATCCCAGGGATCCATAAGCTGCAACCCGAGCTGTTTTCATTACACCCACAGTTCACGCAGGCTGACGCCAAGGCAGGAATTTTAATTCCTAGGAAGAAGCTCCAGAGACAAAGGGCAGGAGCAGAAGAAGGATTTCCCAAGTCAGCCGTGTCAGCCCATATCACTTCCGGACTCTGAAGGAATCAGCCCGAGTCAGAGCCCTTGGCAGGGTGAAACTGGCAACCACACCCCACCCCAAGGCACCACCCTTGGAGAAACCACCTACCCTTGTGCCCATCCTGGTCTTGCCCTCTCTTCCTGCTGCCTGATCCTAAAAACTTGAGGTAGTCCCAAGGGAAGACCTCTCCCCTGGCCAATCCCACATTTGTGGTTATGGGGATAGGTTTCAAAGGCTAAGCTTTTCTGAAATTCAGCACATTTATGATCTTTCCCAGCTCAGAAGAATGAAAGCTGGAGACCAAGAGAATGTACTGGCCAATAGCTGTTACTGCTCCCTCCAGCCTTGGCAATAAATTCTGGCCAGCATAATGTGAAGCCAGAAGCAATTCCCAGATGCTTGGAGGTTTATTCAGAATGCATGATCATAAACAGACCCAGGAGGCTCCAGTTTACTCTGCAGGGGAATTCACTCACAGTGACTCAGCCGAGAGCCTCAGCCATTCCCAGAATCATAGCTTATTCCGTAAAAACACAGAAACTGGCCTTGCCAACACTTGTTCACATCCAGAAAGAGTCCTGGCTAGTTATTCTCAGGACCTCTCAGATCTGGCAAAAGATCACCTGATTCACACACCTGCTAGAGTGAGCAACCTGACACAAGTTTGGCTGCAGCCATCTCAGATAGGAACTCTGTAAAGGTGCAGGGTTTCTTTGCCAGGATTCAGAAAACAGGGAAGAACAATCCCACCTCTGCTTGTTTCACACGTACCACATGAAAGCAAGAAGTGACAAGCACCTTTGTAGCGCTGCTCTCCCACTCTGGGGCTGGGTCGGGGACAGAAGTAACGAGTATGATCACTAGAGTGGTCATATGATCTCTTGTCCAAATGGGACATTTTGCAGAATAGGGTGTTATGAATAGCTATACCAGGATAACAGAGGTTAAACAAGAATTTACCGGACAAACCAGAATGCGTGGTCACTCCAGAAAATATCTTCCACTCCTGTTACCAAGTGGGGGGTCTGTTGCTAGGGTGGTGTCCTATCCTTTCCCAGAACATGTGCCACTGAAGAAAGTCTACTTTTCAAATCGAACAAAGGCCTCATTCAGCAAGCTCCCTGACATCCCAGGAAAAGAGGAAGAAACCATCACAGGAACCACAAAAATGTGGGCAGGGCCCTTATCTGTCTGGTTCATCACTGCATCTCTTGGGCCAAAAATAGTGCTTCGCATGTAGTAGGTGTCCAGAAAATATTTGTTGAATTAATAAATGAGTGCTTGAGCAGAGTTTCTAAAGTCATCAGGAGAACTCTAGGAAAGCAGAGAGACTTGGCAATCCTAGGTAACACATAAAAGGGTTTGAACTCTAAACTGTTGTAAAAATTTAAGGTGTTGCATAGACTGCTATGCAATTCCCTTTGGTGGATTTATGAATATGGAATGTACAAAGCTTTCAAATACCAGATTAAACTGAAACTGTAAAGTTCTGCAAATAAAATGGGAACAAATGATTTTGAAGCCACTGCTGAATTCAAATAAACTGGTACTATTTCCTGCAATATTTCCAATGTGAACTTATTCAAAATTTTCTTGGCCAAAATTGGGACTGAAATAAACAAATGCTTACCACACACATCAGAATTCCTCTAACCCCATCCTCACTGTAAGTTCTCTGAGAAGCACGTGTCGTGAGAGACTTAGATTTTCAAGAGATTTAGTCTTAGAAATGTCCGTGAAGCCTGGAGGGCAATGAATAGGAAAAGGCAGGGAGGGCTTTCAAACCATGATACAGGTGGGCCACCTGGGAACGAAAGAGGGGGAAGGACAGTGGGTTGGAGAAGAACCTCGGACTCGATGCAGTTCTAAGAAAGTTTCAACTAGACTGATGGGGAATCCTGGAGCCAGAGTTGCCCAGTAGAGGAGTCCCACATCCTACAGAAACAGGCCAGCACTAGTTCCCCCCATGTCAGTCACTGGCGGAGAGAAGGTGTGGCCTCAGCACGAACATGGTGCAGCAGAGGGGCTGCAGCTAGGCTTTCAGTCCACTGTGCTCCCACAGGAGGAGTTCTAAACAGCACAGGCTTGGGGTTATCACGCAATGCTCTCCCTGGAATGACTCTTGTTTTCTGTGAATCCAAACAGTCTCTGGTGCAATTCTGCCTGCTATCAGCTGAATATTTACAGTAGATAACAGGTAAGCTATCCCACCACCACCATCTTTTCCTACCAAGTGCTGGAACGTTTCATTCTACAAGCCCAGATGAAATTTCCTCATAGAATCTCAAACAATGACAAGCTTTTCATTAAAAAAATAGAAGTCTATTCTCTCATTTTAATATTTCCAAAGAATCAAGCTCATTCTGGTCAGCCTGCACAGTGGCTGTCCAGAGGTATTGAAATGAGAAGCATTTAGTCACCATCATCCATCATCTGGCAATAAATTTTTTACAGGGTCAGGTTTTGAGTTTTTCATGCTGCTCTTAGTCAATCATTACTATGATTTTGGTTCAGGAGTCATCCAAGGAGGGGAAAGGTTGAACCGTCCTCAGCTCATACCCAGATGTAACAACTTCCGCAGAAAGGCTGGTCCTCCCCAGTAACCCCTGTAAGAAATCACATGGAAAAGATATTTTTGCATCAGAACAGATAAGAGTGACTTCTCAGTCAGCAGGATGTTGAAAGGGAAGCCAGACTGCTTAGAGAGCAAGCTTATCAGCACATAAAGCAAGATTTGTCTAGTGAGATAGAAAGACCCTGTTACTAAAACAACCTGTTTTGAATCTTGGCTTTGACACTGACTTGCTATGTGAGCCTGGACATGCTGACTCAGTACAGGAAACCTGTATGAAGCCTCTACCACATGTAAACTGCAATCCTCTCTACTTTCATTTGCTTATAAGTATAGGTCAGGGTTTCTTAACCTCAGCCCTACTGATGTTTTGGACCAGATATTTCTTTGTTGTGGGGACTGTCCTGTGCATCAGAGGGTGTTTAGCAGCATCCCTGACCTCTGCTCACTAGATGCCAGTGCATCGCCTCCAGCTGTGACAACCAAATATGTACCCAGATATGGCCAAGTGTCCCCAGAGGGGAAAAATTGCCCTGGTTCAAAACCACTATGGTAAATATCCTGACTTGCCTATCTTATAGGGATTTGAACAGGTCAAAAAAAATCATCATTTTTGGATCAAAGAAATTATTCCTTTTTATTACCCTATGTATTTACTGAATGCCTACTATTTGGTTGTCTTTTAATGTGTTATCTCATTAATCTCCATCCTGTAAGGTAAGCAATGCTACTTTCATTTGCAGATAAGAAACTTAAACACAGAGAGTTTAGGCAATTTGTCCTAGGACACACAGCTAGTAAATGGCAGATGCATGGCTCAAACACAGGTCTGACTCCAAAGCTTATGCTCTTAATTGCTATGTTTTATTTTTCCTGTTACATAATAAAAACAAAAGTAAGGTAGCAAATGAAAAAGTACTTACCATGTGAAAGTGATTTACTATGATTATTATTTATCCAGCAGCAAGAGAGAATCAGAACATGGAAGACAGAAGACTTGGCCACCGCCAATAATGAAGAGAAGAGCCTGCATCCCCTGTGGGTGGTGGATGTTTTACCACTTCCTTCCCTCACCCAGGGTAGCCTCTCTCCCACCAAGTATGGCTAAGGCTTCAGAATCCTGCACAGGCTACCATCACTCAACCACGAGAAATGGCACAGCAAGGTTAACTCCATTAGCCAGTCCTGCTCTGGGTCATGATTTCTCCTGAAGCTGGAAGGCCTTCTAGAAACAACCGCCCTAAACAAGTGGGTGCAATGTGCCAAAAGTGTGCCTCTACCCCAATGATGCACTTACCTCAGCATCATATTCCAGTATAGGAAGGGCATCAGGTCGGCCTTCATGAGGTACATGGAAAGCCTCTCTTTGCCCTGGTCAAAGGGGAAGGTTTCCAGGGGCTGAGAGCTGTAGTCAAACTCTGCGAGAATCACACGGTTGTAGCCAGTCACCAGTGGACATGACGTGTAGCCATCATACTGAAATTGTATGCAAGACTGAGTTAGAAAGTAGTTTTCTTCATGGTGTTTACATTAACATTTTAAAATTTATTATTGACTCCGAGCAATTGCAATTTTTTGTATATTCTAAGTTTTTTACAGTGAAAAATGGAAATTATATAACAAAAAATAATACTAAAAGCAAAAAATTGAAGTGCCCATATTGGAAAACCTAATTAAGAAAGTGGAAAAATTGGGGAGAAACACTGTTTTCATACAGAATGAAAGATAATCGAGACAGTGATTCCTACGAACCTTCTTCATTGGTTTTTCATTCTTCATAATCAGAGAAATTGTCCTGTCAAGTATTCCTGACTGGGCAGCTATAAGAAAAATGGAAAAGCCAGAAAAATATAAGCATCTAATTAGTTTTCCATGAAAACTAATTTGCAAATAACTTTAATGTGAACAAGTTAACAAGTGTCCATTCCCCAACCCTCTAGATTAAAACTGGAATATAACTCTTCTTAGTATTCAAAGTTCTGGCTACCAGAAGGGGTTCTTCAGTTCATCCCACACAGATGTGTCCATAATTTTGAAACTAATGAGCCAGCTCTCTCTAACAGGACTGGCAATTTAAAAGGACTATAAGGGTGGCCGTATCTCATCCGCACTCCCCCTCCTCCTAAGATTCAGTGGGTATCAGCTTGGTCTGTGTCCTAGCCTAGATTGGTACCCCCATGTATATCAATTAGGCAAAACAGTAAGCTTTCCTCTGTATTGAACTGCCCTATCTGAGGTTGGACGAAATATAGGCAGACAGACAGATAAGTGAATGTGTTTTGGTTTTTGATGGCAAGAATGGGAGATTGCCTTTTTCATAATGAAAATTTTCAAACTCTGTCGTTCCTCTCATCTATCCCATCACACGTCACTTTTCTTCCTGGAGTATTTTTAGAGCAAACAGCATTACAATTCACTCATAAATATTTCTATGTATATTTCCAATAGATAAGGAATTTTTAAAACACAAACATAATAGTATTTTTATACCCAAAATACTAGAAATAATTCCTTAATATCATCTAATCCCAAGCTGTGTTCAATTTTGAATAATTAAGACTTCCCTTTTAAATTGATGGTCACCAGATGAGAGGGGGTTAAAGGGATGGCAAAAAAAGGTAAAAGGGATTAAGAAGTACAAGTTATCAGTTATTAAAATAGTCACAGGGATGTGAAGTACACCATAGGGAATAGAGTCAGTAATATTGTACTTGCTATGTATAGCATCAAATGGATACTACAGTGATCAGGGTGATCACTTTGTAAATTATATAAATGTCTAATCCCTATGCTGTACACCTGAAACAAATATTGAATGTCGACCGTAATTGCAAAATACAATTAAAAAAAAAAAAGACTGCCCTTTTAAAAATATAAGCAGTTTGTGTCTCTAGAGGTGGAAGGCTGGATTTATTTTTGAGGAAAGACTTTACCTATATATTGTAAAATGCTTATTAAAGTGTCTATTTTGCAATCCCCAAAATCAGGGGTCAGCAAACTTTTTCTGTAAATAAATTTAAGACCTCAGGGGCAAAGAGGCAAAATCAAAGTTATTATATACTGGGAAAAAAAGGTTTTATTAATAAAATTCAAAATATGACAATTTTTTTGGTAATACAGGTCTACTAATGAGTAGAATCGAATTCTTTTTCTTTTTTCTTTTTTTTTTTTTTTTGAATAAGAAAAAGTTAGTTGTTCCCTATCAACAAATCAATTATAAATGTTCATCTGTAGAAACCATTCTTAGCCAGGCAGCAGGCGGCATCTAGCCAGCAGACTGTAGTTTGCTGATGCCCAGGTCAAAAGAGTAATTAAATTTTTACTGAAATGAGGGGGTTCAAAAAAATGAATAAATAACTCTGCCTATAAGAGAGGAGGCATCCAAACAATGCAAAGGAAAGGGCTTGACAGAAATGATCACTCAGCTGTTGTAGAGTAACCACACCCTATAGATCTTTAAATGGCCTTCTGGACACTCTTGCCACACCTAACAATCTGTAAATAGACAGAACTGGTGGTCCGGGAATTCCTTCCCCCTTGCAGCCTCCGCTTGAAACTCCTCCTCCCATCCTGAGTTAGGAAGTGCACATAGACCCTCAGACAAAGCAATCACGGGCCCCTTGCATGAAACACCGCAGAGGTATATAAGTTGTAAGAAAGCTAACTGAAAGGAGCTCATGCCTTTTGCCTCACGTGCTCCACTGGCCTAATAAACTCTCCTTCCTCTAACAAAGTTGTCTGAGCGTCCAAATTTCCTCCGTCGGGTGTCACTTCCTGCAACACCTAAAAATATTAATGGCTGTCTTCATTGTGGGCAAAGTATCATCTCTAAAGATCATAGTTCCCTTCTGGAAAACTTTGTTCCCCTTTGAGGGTCATAAAAAATTTAGAATCTGTGCTGAGAAAATTCAAGGAGGCCCCTGCAGCAGAGCATGGAGGCCAACAGCAAAGGAGAGAAGATGGCCAGTGGGTGCCATCTGCAGAGGGGCTAGTCCTTTAGACCCAGCAAGCGGCCACAATGTCCAGGTTTAAGGTTTGCATGTGTGAATTGTGGTTTGTTTGTTTGTTTTCCTGTATTATAATCCCTTTCTGCTATGCCCAAACCTTCAGTTAACTGGTCTGGACTGTGCAATATGTAATTAAGGGCGGAGAGAAGCAGAAGAGGCTGAGCTACAGGAAAGGCAAACTCAACGTGGCAAGACAAGGTCTCTCTCTCAACAGCACAATGGTCTGGACTGAGGTAAGACACCTGGCTGGTGGCAGGTAAAGCCAAGGACAGATTTGTGGAAGCATTGCTAAGAATACTCAGAGGACTTGGGGGCGCCTGGGGGGTGGGGAGCGGGAACCTAGTAAGAAATGCAGATCCACTTTGAGAAAGCTAGGAGTATTGTTATGCAGACACTAAGAGAAGAGCAAACAGACTTTCGCACATATGAAATGACATATAATGAAGAGCATTCACTGCAGCACTGTTTGAAATAAAAATAGGTTGGAAACAACACAACCATAAAATGAAATACAGATTGTAAAAAAAAAAAAAAAAAGCATGTAAAAACGACAGAGATGCTCTCTACGTGGCGGGGGCAGAAGCTGAGAAGATGGAAGGCAAGGCTAGGAGCAAGACTTTTCACGTAGAACTTTTTCTTTAATCACATTTAATATTATATATTTGGAACACTGAATGAAATGTGTTTATTTGAACTAGGCCAAAAGCTGGGTAATCTGGGCCTCACATACAGCACAGTATTTTCAACACACAAATTCAATAGGCATACATTAAGAGAAATGTAAATTCAAAGTCTCGTCCCACAGTCTACCTATAAATCACAAAGAGAAAAGATACGTTTATAGTGGAGAGAACCCAGTGACAAAATCCAGCTTTACCAAGGACGAGACAAACTAACATGACAGGCTCCTGAGGTGACACTGTGGGAGGCACACAGTCTCACAGGTGGAGGGTCTTGCCAAAATGTATAACCTGATTCTAACCATAAAAAAAAAAAAAAAAATTAAAAATCTAGACAATTCTAAATTATGACATATGCTACGAGATAACTGGCCTGGACTCCAAAAATGCCAATGTTATGAAAGTGAAAAAACAAATGTCAGCAGGCTGTTCTAGATCAAAGGAAACCAAAGAAACATGACAACCAGTGTAGTATGTGCTTCTTGTGGGGTTCACGCACTTAAAGGATGGGGTGGGGGTCAATAAAGAACATTTCTTCAAAGCAGGAGAAATTCAAACCAGTTTATATATGAGATGATTTTATAATAAAATATTCAATTTCTTGGATGTGATAATAGTCTAGTGGATATAGAGGAGAAAGCGCTTTTTCTTAGGAAATGCAGGTTGAAGTATTTGAGGGTGAAGTATCATGTCAAAACTTATTTCCAAATGACTCGGCAAAAAAAAAAAAATGTACATAGAGTGATAAAACAAATGTCTCAAAATATTAATAACTGGTTAATACCTAAGAGTATATGGGTATTCACTGTAGTTTCTTTCAAATTTTTCATAGGTTTGAGATTTTTGAAATAAAATTTGGTGAGAAATTACTATTAATAATGAAAAAAACATTCAGTTGGTTTCCTAGAAAGGCTTTCTTTGGTTCAAGTTGTCAGCAAAAGTAACCCATGTGCTACAGGTGTATAATTCACACAAGACACTGCCATGCCCATC